CGGGGGTGTCCAGCGATATACCCTTTACGCAAACGGCTGGTCCCGCGCTATCCCGTTTTTCATCTTTACAACACACACACTCTGGCAGCATCCCTGGGCCTAGATATAAGGAGATGGAAGAATCCCCCAGCCGTCAGCTGAGACAGGGAGCCGCTGAGCTCCTCCTTCCCCAGAGGGGCTGCAGGCTGCGTGAGGCCCAGGGCCACCTTGTCCTTTGCTCTGGCCCGTACATGCAGGCGCCAGGTCCCAGGTTCCAGCCAGCTATAGCTCTGGGGTCAGTCACCTTCCTACCGTCAGTCCCTGGGGCTGGGGGCTGCTGTCTGCCTAGGAGGGACATGCGTCCTGCCCCACAGGGCTGGGCTGGCGGAAGCAGAACTCCCGTGAAACTGCGAGAGCTGCAGGACCCCAGCCCTCCCGCAGTGTGCGAGCTCTCCCTGCGTGCTCTTTCTCAGGACAAAGGCCACCCAGCGGTCACAAGGAGGAGGGACGGCTCTTAAGGGTCACACTTTAGAAGGGGAGTTTGCAGTGTCAGAAATGCTCACAAGGGGACCAGCAGTTAGCGTAATGGCTATGTCGCTGGACTCCCATGTAGTCGACCAAACGACCGCGGTTCGGGTCCCGGACCCGATGACTTGAACTCAGCCAGGTGCGTGTGCGTGAGTGCCCAAGATCCCAAGAGGAGAATGGAGGAGCCCCCTGGGGGGTGATTTCTCGCTTTCTATCTCTCTGTCTTTCTGGTGAGTGCATGTACAGGAGCGCCCTGGGGGGTGATTTCTCGCTTTCTATCTCTCTGTCTTTCTGGTGAGTGCATGTACCCTATAGCGAAAACCTCTCCAGAAAAGAAAAAAAAAACCACGAAATGCTCACAGGAAGCCATAGCATGCCAATGGGAACTGCAGTCCCGGTCAAGTGGGGACAAGGAAGTGAGCACTGGGCAGGTGGTGGTGGAGCAGTAATGCCCAGGACTCTGTGAGAAAGGTCCTGGGTTCATGTCCCAGGACCTCCCTGAGCACCCCAGCCAAAACTGGAGGTGGGTCACAGCGTGAAGACCCTGTGTGCGTGGGGGTGCCTGTTTCTTTCTGTGTCTCTTTCTCACAGAAGCGAATGAATAAACTTCTTACGATCCTAAAAATCAATAAATAAACGTGTGTAGTTAGAGCCAGAAGCACGGTGGGGTGTGGCTCTGAGTTGGGGATGAGTGTGGCCTGCCTGGGGTGCACCTGCCCCAGGGCGTCTGTCAGAAGGGACAGAGGCCCATCCGATGGCCTCACACCGCGCCCTCTGGTTTCCCCACAGGACCCGGAGCTGGCAGGATGGGTGTCGGGACATGCTGATCTCCCCTCGGGACAGGTAAGTGACTTGACCTTGGCCTGAGGACGTCCCCTCCCCACACGGGACAGCAGAGGGTCCTGCGGGCGTGGTCAGCAGAGGGTAGACTGGCCCTAGGCAGTGCGTGCTCTCTCTCGGGGTCACCTGGGTGGGCACATCCCTCGGCTGGACAGGGCCGGACACGGAGGCCTCATGCTACCGCCACTTAAATTTTGTCCAGAGCGTGGACAGCTGGCACTCCGTTTTGACGTCTGGCTTGAGAGACGAGCGTTTGGTATGAGCAGTGGCCAGGGCTGGGTGACATGAACTGGGGCCTTAGCTGGGTCTGGTCTTTACCCCGTTGATGTGAACGTCAGCCACGGCCATGTCTGGTGTGGGTTCGGCCCGCCCGGCCTGGCACTCGGCTCAGGGGAGACTAGAGCCAGCCTGAGTGGTTGATGGCCCCCGAGGCTGGCATGACAGACGTCTAAAAAGGCCAGCTAGTGACCGTCTCAGTTTTCTAGGCCCCGGGATATCATAGCCTTACTGCTCTGCCGTTGTGTGGTGACAACACCACGGACAGCCCGTGACTGAATTCCCCACGCTCTGATGACAGCCAGGGCTGAGCGTGCCGGGTCAGGGCCTTGGGTGTGAGCCGTGTTTGGGGCTTATCTGCTAACGATGGCTGCCAGCTCCAGGGGACTTGGGGTGTGCTGGGAGGCGTGGTGGGCCGGGAGGGCAGCCCTCTGGTCCCTGGTCTGTCAGGGTTTGGCTGGGATGGTTGCTGTCTGGCAGAGCAGGGTGGCCTAAAAGAATGCCCCCTGCTCACTCTCGTTTCTGCAGTGCAGGGACCGCGTCCTCAGCCCAGCCCTGTGCTCCACCCCCACCAGGCACTGTCTCTGTGGATTCTTAGGGACACTTAGCAGGTGGCATGGTGGTTAAGGCGCTAGACACACCCACATGGCTGACCACGGTTCGAGTCCCGGACCTGGTGGCTTGCTTTCTCACTTCCTCTCTTTCTCTCACTCTCTCTCTCTGTGTCTCTCTCTGTCAAATTAAAAATAAATGAATGAATAAATAAAATTTTAAAAAAAGAGACACTTAGCACCCAACCCCGAGGTCTGGCCTGGCCAGTGCTGTACCTGGGTGGTGGGAGAAGGCCTTGGCCCACGACCCAGGAACCCCCAGATCTCTAGACCCCGAGTGTCCTGTGCTGAAGGCTGTAGGCTGTAGGACAGACTGCTCCTTCTCGCCTATTCCCAAAGCCCTTGGGGGTGGGAAGCTGCTGGCCAGGCTGGTGGGAGCCGGGGTCTGTCACCTGCCATGCAGAAGGACTGATGTATGGCCAGGCACGTTGG